TGGTAGAGTGCTAGCCTTAAGCTGAAGAGCTGAGGGACAACACCCAGGCTCAGAATTCAGGCCCCACGACCGGACCCAAAAAAAAAAAGAAAATGGATCGGCAAGTATCAGAAAGGTGATTGCCATTTCTCCAGGCAAGAGTGAGAAGTGGTGTAGAAAACAGATGAACTTTTAATGACTTTTCTGAATGACACAGGAAAAAAAAAATAGATGGACTATTCACTTTGGACTCTTCTGGTATTCCAGTTTCTTATTCACTCAAACATTTATTGTCTGATATACAGGGTATCCGGCAAGTATGCAGATTGGTAACAGAGGGAACAGAGGAAGAACCCAGGGCTATGGAGACACACATGTGTGGCTCACTTAACCGAGAAGAAAAAGTCAAGGGAGGCACCACAGATGAGGTATCTTCTCATTAAAACCTAAAGGACCATAGCGAGACCTCAAAGGAAACAGGAAGATGAAGTATACAGGAGAGTGTGACATCATGGCCATAGGCTAGCAGAAAGACAAGCCAGCTCAGAATTCGAAACATTTTGAATGTAAAGAGAACACAATATGAAGTTAGACAAAGCACCCATGTAAGCCCAACAGATTCCTTCTTCAGAAAGACAATGGGAAATGGCAGAAGATAGCCCTTTCAGATCAACTGTCCGCATAGCACTGTGCTGGACAAATAAGAGAGGGGTCTACCCAGACCCCTATTATGTCATCGTTTATGCGTTTCCCTGTACCTGCTGTTCTCCTCAGCAGACATCTCCATCTTTCTAGGCTTACTCATGTCTCCCAGGGGCCTGGAAGACTGCTTGACACAAACTGGACCCTCAATACTAGTTCAATCAGGAAGCTTCTATTCAGAGCCTAAATTTTCCTCATTTGATTTTACTAGTAATTTGATTAGTGAAAGAGGCAAATGGCTTCCCTCCATTCCCAGAAAGATGATTTAATGCACACAATGAACAAAAACACCACGCTAGCACATTTCAAGAAGCCGTACACTGGTGGTAGTGCAACTGTAGGCGCTAACCTCCGAGTTTCTCCACTACTGTTTTGTGTTTCCTTTCTAAATGCTGAAGATGCCTACAGCATTTCTCCAGTTTCCTTTTCAGATCTTGACATTCCTGCTTTTCCTTTGCCAGTTCTTGGAAGCAGGATCCACCGCATACACTTTTAATTTCAAGGATCTTTTTCTTATCTGCAAAAATTAAATGATAGAAAACTTTTTCATAAGTTAAGACTAAGGGCTATACAAAAAAAAACAAATAAAAGGAGCAGGGGAGGTGGTGAAACAAATGGTATGCCCATGACCAGTGAGTACAGTACAATCGAAAGAACATGATGCTGAAAGAGAGAGCGGGGTTCAAGTCCCATTCACCATTTGCTAGTTGTGTGACTCAGAGCATTATAGTTAACCTCGCTAAGACTTTTTTTACTATACAAACTTGGATCATAGCTTTAAAAATTGCTGTGAAACCAAACACTCAGATTTAAGTCCTGAATATGATTTCCTACTTAAAGGGAATGAAGAATCTCCAAGCCATGGCTGGCTTCAGTATTGGGAGATGTAAACACAAAACGAGACCAAAATCACTTAACATGCCAGAAAATAGGAAAAGTACTCTTTAGACACTTTACAATGATACGGTTTCAAGGGGCTCCACTAGCTGAGTTTGGGACAATCTGAGTGCTACTTAAACATAGTAGTGAAGTTTTCAAAAATAGTTAACACCAATAATTCTATGATGGCTGGATAGGTGAAAAGACAGACAGGAGAAGGATTCTGAATTAGAGCAACAGGTTGAGTGCTCCCTGGTAAAAGTGGAAAGAAGACTGGAAGCAGGAAAATTATTTTGCAACCACTGTGGTAATGATGATCAGCCAAGAACTGCCAATGATTGTCACATCTAAGACAAAGTTTTAATGAGAGGAAGTATATCTGCATGGCCTTCAAAGTGTCTCTCCACAGATTGCTTGTTAGGTTCAGGGGAGAACCACATGAATTACGCATTGAAGAAAGTGGGCGACATTGTGACCAAGTAATCAAAAATGAGACAAAATAAACACCAGATGCTTCCAGATGTAAAAACTTATCACTTATGCAGTGTTCCTGCCAAGAAAGCACAACTTGAATTCAGTCATGAAAAATTCCAAAACAGGGTAAGCTCTGTGTTTAAAAAAGAAAAAAACAAAAAAAAGAGTGTTAAAGAACAGAGACTACTTCTTCCAAAAATGTTAGTGTCATAAGAGTCTAGGGGAGCCAGGCAGCAGTGGCTCATGTCTATAATACCAGCTGCTAAGGAGGCTGAGATCTGAGGATGGAGATTCGAAGCCAGCCCAGGCAGAAAAAGTACCCATGAAACTCTTATCAACAATTAGCCACTCAAAAACCGGAAGTGGAGCTGTGGTTCAAAGTGGTAAAGCACTAGCTGTGAGCAAAAAGGTCAGGGACAGTGCTGAGGCCCTGAGTTCAAGCCCTAGAACTGGCAATAATAATAATAATAATAATAATAAAGTATCTATGGATATTATATAACATATGTGTGTATAAATATATATCATATTATATATTAAAGGAGGCCAAAGACACAGGGTGTTATATCTAACCACTCAGGAAGTTAAAGATGCAAGATTTATTTGGGTCAACTGACTAAATTAAGAGTACTAAGGGGCAAACTGATACTTTTATCTGTTGTTAAATTTTCTGTACTTAAAGTACAGAAAGGTTATGAAGGAAAATGTTTCTCTTGTTGGAAAATATAGACCAAGGATTACAAAAAAAAAAACCCACAATGTATCTTCCCCTCAAATGGTTTTGAAAAAAGAAAATTCACAAATACACACAGAAGAACACAGAGTCAGGCAAAATATTATCAATTGGTATAGCTAGTAAGCTAGTAAGGGGTACAAAACTGTTTCATGCATCTGTTTTTATCTTTACTACGTCTAATAAGTTTGAAATTATCTCCAATTTTTCTAAATGTACAAAAGTTGTTCAGTACAGTACCTAGCATATAGCAACTATACAACATTGTCATTAGTAATATATACAATTTGTAAGAGTTAAATAACAAGAAATAATACCAAAGGTAAATTTTGATTATAAATATAAATAGTAAAGTAGCAATATAAACTGACACAGACTAAGAAACCAATATCTAAAAATATCAATGAGAAGTCACTGATCCAGAGTATTTGTTACCTTGGGTTGGGGGAAGCTGTAGAGATGGAACTGTGGTCACTATTTCTTCAGTCCAGTGGTAGGTTCCTGGCTGCTGGGCCTTATAACCTACCTGTATAATACCCATATGCTTTGCATGTATCCAATATTGCAGAAATAGTGTTTACAATTATTTAAAAATAATAGGAAAGAAGACTAAACCATCAACGGTAGCACATCTGGGTAGGAGCACTATAAAGGACTTTACTTGGATTTAATTCTTTCTGTAAGTAAGGACTAATCCTTACTTATTACTGTATTTAAGAAGAAAAGACTGAAGGAAAAAAAGTCATTTTACAGTATGTTTTGTCTTCAGCCAAAATCAATCTTTTCATAAGACTTAATTTCTTTCACAGGCCTTCCCAGAGCCAAATAACATCTAAAACTTGTTTCTATTCATTTTGCACATTAAAATGTAATTCTCAGGCCATCCCAAACATATTTAAAAGAAGCACAGTAGGTAGTAGTTCCTCCACCTAGAACCCAGGAGTACAGGAAAAGGATCTTTGAACAATGAGAAAAGCAATCAGTGATTGGCCTATGAGGACAGCAAGTATTATCTAAGATTAGGATAATGCTGCCTGAACTAGAAACATTCAACTTAGTATGCATGATTTGCCCTGGTAATTGCTGGGTTTTTCCAGGTCATAGTGGGAACAACAAACAGCAGAAATTGGTTGTATTTGTGTGAAGAAGGCAGAAATTTCAGTGACCATAAGCCCTATATATTCCTGAGTGAACTCTGAACACAAGGGGCTGTAATACAGTACAAAAATCATTTTCAATAGTGATAAATTTAAGTCGCTAGGGAAAAGGTAAACTAATAATTTAGCCAATGGTCACGTAATACAAACTACGTGCCTTTTACTCTAGTGTGTAGTAGAAGAGATTTAGAAATACTGACCCTGGCATAAAACTCACAAATAAAAATAGCTAATACATGGTTGACGCCATCAAAATCAGTATGGAGGTTCTTCAAAAGACTAAATATAGACCTATCTTATGACCTCATCATACTACTCTGAGGAATATATGTGAAGGAGTCTAAGTCAATATACCACAGAGGTACTTGCACATCCATGCTTACTTGTAGCTCTGTTCCCAACAGTCAAACTGTAGGATCAGCTGAGGTACCCAACAACCGATGAATAGATGAACAATATCTATCCATCCATCCACCCAGCTACCTATCCATCCCATCATCTATCCATCTACCATGGAATATTACTCAGCTATAAAGAAAATGAGATTATGTCATTTGCAGAGAATGGATACATCTAGAGACCATCAGATTGAGCAAGATAAGCTTAAAAAGCCAAATACTGCATCTTCTCATTCATTTGTGGAATTAAAGACTCAAAATGATGATGATGATGATATGTGTAAAAGAGGGACTTTCTAGGGACAGAGATAAGTGGGAATGAGAAGGAGCAAGGGCAAAAGACGACTGAGTAGTGTAAAGAGGAAGACTAAATATAAACACAAACATTTACATATATGTGTGTATCTATGAAAACCCTTGCTATGCTAATTTATGCTAATTAGAACATAATTGTTAAATAAATGACTGTGCTTTGAATGAAAAAAAAAATCTCCATTATTTGGCAATTGTCTTATGTAGACATGACTGCTCTGTTAAAATTCTCACTATTGCTAGGCACTGTGGCTCACACTTAAAATCCTATCTACTCAAGAGGCTGAGATCTGAGGATTGTGGTTCAAAGCTAGCCCAGGCAGTAAAGTCTGTCAAATTCCATCTCCAATTAACCAGCAAGATATCAGACTGGAGATAGGGCTCGCATGGTACAGAGCCAGCCATGAGGAGGAAGCAAGCTGAATGCGAACACAAGTTCCTGAGTTCTAGGTATGGCACCAAAACAAAACAAAACAGAAACCTCTCCCCTATTCTCTTAGTAAGAATTATTGATGAAAGGAAGGTAAGTCTAAATCAGCAATAACTCCTAAATATACAATGAAATTTAGAGACAGTGAACACTAAGTCAATAAAATACACATTGGTTCATTCAGAAAACTTCACATCTTCAACTAAACATGGTGGCACGTGCCTAGGATCCCAGCTTTTCAGGACGTAGAGGTAGGAGGATCAGACTCCAAGGCAAACGCACAAAATCCTGTAACTTAAGGAAAAAGAGCTGGCGGCAGGGTTCACATGGTAGGATACCTGCCTAGCAAGCACCTAGACCCTGAATTCAAACTACAAATACCATCAAAAAGAATACTGTTCTCATCTTTGCCTTTGTCCTCCAAATGACCCTTCAGAATGGTGATTAGAGATATTATGAAGACTAGCAGAAACCAAATCAATTACCAGCTTCTGCTTCCTGCAAGGCCAGGGGCTGAGAGTGGTCTCCAGAAGTGGGAGCAGGGACGAGGGCTGGCACTCCAGGGTCTCCTCTGGCAGTGGCCCAGCTGGAAGGATCTTCAGAGATCTTCACCATGTTTCTCTGAAATAAATTGTCTTCATACTTAATGCCTAGGGAAAAAAATCTCTATGCAAATTTTCATTTAAAATGCTAGTAGGAAAAAATACAAGAAGAAATCAATGCTTGCAAACAATGTTGCCTAAACTATAAGCAAATGTAAATATGGGGGGGGGGATAGGAAGGGATGGGAAGGGGAAACAAAGGAGGAGCCAACAATCCTTGATAAGAAATGTACTCATAGCCGGGCGCTGGTGGCTCACGCCTGTAATCCTAGCTACTCAAAAGGCTGAGATCTGAGGATCACGGTTCAAAGCCAGCCCGGGCAGGAGAGACCGTGAGACTCCTATCTCCAATAAACCACCAGAAAACCGGAAGTG